GAGAGAGACAAAGTTGTGACTTGAGACTTGACGACATTGGATCCAGACTTGACATTTGGGATTCAGACATTTCGACGAGGGACTATTTGGGCTTGTGCTGAAGACTTGGTGTTGACGACATTCCCATCTTCCCCCTCCTCTTCGTCTGTGTATGGTATGGGCTGGCGCAGTCTTCCTGTGTGAAGCGCCAGGCCCATTTCACACCATGTAACGATGATGATGATGTATGTTCAGGGCTGCATTGCAACATTGATTGTTCGGATCACTGGTATCTAAGTCTTTCGTTGTGCTATCTTATACTTTGTATTGAAAGGTCGGTTCTTGTTCTGCTCTGCACGTTACAGTATGCAACAGTTTGGTATCGGAGCGGACCTCTCATTCAGAGGACCCGCTCAATCAAGTAGCCAGCTTGCGATCTATTGATCATTCATTAGTAACGCAAGTAGGACTTAGTCAAATCTCTGAAAATTTTTTCTCGCAACAACTATCTGAAAATTCTGATATTCACATTTCGTTCTATCTGAAAATTTCTGATATTACTAGTTCGTTTTTACGTGACAAATATCTGAAAATTTCTGATAAATCGCATTTCATTTTGTCTGAAAATTCCCGATAGTAGCATTTCGTTTCTCTGATATTTCGCATACATAGCTGAAATTTCTGAAGTTAGTATTTTCGTTCTCTAGGCATATTGGGATAACGATAGAAGTGGCCATATTCTCGGAAACTGAAATTATTCTTTTCTGAAAATCGCATTTCCATTCTATCTCGCAAATTCTTTTCTGAAAATCGCATTTTTTTGAAAACCGAATCTTGCGAAGCCTACCAATATTCGGAGGTTGCTATATTCTCAGAAACTGGATTTCGTTCTTTTCTGAAAATCGCATCTTACTCCATTTCGCAAAAAAATTTTCAAGATCACAGTTTGTAAAAGCCGAAACTTTGCGGCACCTAGCCTAGATCTCGTTCATAATACTCTTCTGACATATCCTACTCATCATAAATCGACAGATATATACAAAAAAAAAAAAAAAGGACGAAGTCCTCTTTTATTTTTATTTTTTTTATTTTATCTGTTGATTAGGGCCGGAGGAAAGTATTGTTGGGTTGGTTACCTACCTACGTTTTTCCTCCCACCCACCCCTTGCATGCATCCCGGTTCGGTATAGCGCCACGTCACAGTGCCAGATCAGCAGTGCCACGTCAGCAGTGCCACGTCAGCAGTGCCACGTCACAGTGCCAGATCAGCAGTGCCACGTCAGCAGTGCGAGGTCACAGTGCCACGTCAGCAGTGACGTCAGACACAGTGCCACGTAAGCAGTGCCACATCAGCAGTGCCACATCAGCAGTGCCACGTCAGACACAGTGCCACGTAAGCAATGCCACATCAGCAGTGCCACGTCAGACACAGTGCCATGTAAGCAGTGCCACATCAGCAGTGCCACATCAGATACAGTGCCACGTCAGACAAAGTGCCACGTCAGCAGTGCCACGTCAGCAACATGACGGGCCTGCCAGGGCAACTGCCCAACGAGTCCCTTGCAGCCTACAAGCAGCGGTTCCAGGCTCAGATAGAGGCTGAGGAACAACGCCAGCTGGCAGCCGAGGCTGCCCGCGTACAGGCTGAAGAGGCAGCAGCAGCAGAGCAACTGCAGCTACAGGCCGATGCAGACGCAGATGCCCAGGCTCGCCGCAAGGAAGCCCAAGATCTGCTGCAGCGACATGAAGCCAACAGCATCGACAGACTCAAGTTCTGGCATTTTGAACCGAACGGCGACGAGGCAACACCGGAAGAGAAGCACAAGGAGTTCCTCTCCAAACTCGTGACGCGGTTGTTGTATGCTTGCAACTACCAACGGTCAGAGTTGGAGAGACAGTACCAATACCTGACGCAACAGCAGCAGGAGTTGGCACAGCTCCGCCGCATAGTGCAGAGCCACGAGGATGCAACATGGGCACTCAATGCCCGATTGCTGGACCTGGAACAGGCTGTACCAGGACCAACTGCTGGGGCTTTCAGCAGTGCACCCTCTAGCCGCCAACTGGAGGACCGCGTTGACCACGTAGTGGCAATGCTCAGCGACATCAGCACCTTCGCTGCGCCGACCACCACCATCAGCAGTCAGCTGCATACATTGAAGACCGAGGTCCAGCAGCTGCAGACGACGAACGCAGATGGCAATCCGAAGATGTATAAGATGCCAACTTTCAATCTGGAGAGGTTCGACGACTACACGCAGCAGGATCCGGTCCTCTGGTGGGAAGCATTTACACGCAACTCAGGATTCTGCCCGTAGTCAAGCATGCGTACATCGGCGCCCTGTTCCTGAACTCAAAGGGCGGATGCCAGACCTGGTTGAGCCACCTGGCAACCTCCCACGGCGTCGACGTACCAGACTTGAAGGACAAAATCACATGGGAGGAACTGACACGGCTGTGGAAGAAGCGGTTCATCGTCGACGGCGCGCCGACACTCGCCATCAACCGTCTGTTCACCATGTCACAGGGCAACACTGCAACACGGGACTGGATCACAGAGTGGCAGAAGATTCGGCAGTGCCCAATCTGGAGTTGCCTTTCACTCATCTCAGACGTGAGTTCTACAACAGGTCCTGTGCTGCATTGAGCCAGGCCCTTGGTGATCGCGAGCAGTACTCCACTTTCGCCGAGATTATCGACAAGGCGAGAGAGATCATCAAGACCAACAGGTCAGCTGCACACGAGAGGTCAACATGGCAGCTGACCTATGTGGAGAAGGTACGAACTGGTCCGCGACAGCAGCACTTCGCTGCAGTCCAGCAGAACAGTGGAGATAACCCAACAGCCACTCCAGCATCAAGTGACGAAGATCAGGTGGTTGCTGTCCAGCCGCGAAGCAACAACAAGTCCTGCAACAATGGGAAGGCGAAATCCGCATCGCAGGCCGGAAATGGACAGCCAGTACAAGTTCCATGGGTCAAGTTTGGCTTGACCGAGGCGGAGTACAAGGTCCGCGGCCGCTACGGCAGCTGCTACTGGTGCAACAACACTAAGCACAAGACCTCCCTGTGCCAAGATCAGGGCAAGGAGGATGTGCGACCCCGCCTCAGCTCGGGAAACTGAGCTCCGCGGAAGGTGAGGCGACTCCACCTTCTACTCCGCCAGATTCGGCTGCCTTGCTAGAGGCCTCCTGCACATTTGGGGAGGATGCGAATGTCGCAAGTCCTCGGTATACTTATGAGGATTATGCTGTCCACTTGGTTCCACCGCTGGACCAACCACTCCACGTGCAACAGTCCACCACATGCACGGTTTCATCACCATTGGCAACCGATTCGGCAGCTTCGCCGCAATCTATCGCCGGGGATTCGACTTCATGGTAAAGACTTGAAAAGCTCGACCCGTTGACGTTCACGGACTTCCAGTGGATGCCCGTTCCCTCAACCGGACGATTGTCGAAACCGCATTGCAATGTGCTCATGGCACAACTGTGGGACTACTTGCACACTGCAGTACCAGCTTCGTTGATGGACGCCGGAGCAGAGGTTGTCGACCTTCAGGCTTACATCGTGAAGATCGACCGCGAGTTCAAGACGCAACGGTACGACGACATCGACGCACCATTGCTATATGTACGCATTCAGATCGGAGAGGCAACCTGCAGTGCCTTGATTAATTGCGGAGCATCTCGCAACTACATCAGCCAGGACTTCATGGTGCGCGCCGGCCTTGGCCCACGCGTCCGGAGGAAGCCCCAGCCTACGCAAGTCACATTGGCGGACGGTCACACGCACAAGTCTATCGACCGGTGCATTGACAGCGTCCCAGTGTACTTTGCCCCTTTCGCAAGTGAGGCGGTGCCCTTTGACATTCTGGACACCAAATTCGACATGATCTTGGGCATGTTATGGCTGCGAAGCAAGGATCACCTGGTGAACTTCTTCAACCGCACCGTTCACGTTCGTGACCGGAACGGAGTATTAGTTCCATGCACGGTGCCTCTTCCTCACCCTTCGATCAGCTGCCACGTGGTATCCGCCGCAAGCATGCGAGCTTCCATCATCAGAGTCGACATCGAGGAGATGGGGGTGTCTTTTCTCCACGCCCTCTCGCCCCATGACACTTCATCGACGGACTCACCTTCGGACCCACGCATCACCAAACTTCTCGACGCCTACAGCGACGTGTTCGAAGGCCCGCATGGAGTAGTACCGGATCGACCCATCCGCCACGAGATCATCCTCGAGGACGGGGCCGTACCTCCGCGCGGTTGCATCTACCGAATGAGCGAGAAAGAGTTAAGTGTGCTTCAGGCACAACTCGACGACCTTCTAAAGAAAGGCTGGATTCGGCCTAGCTCATCGCCATACGGTGCTCCTGTTCTCTTTGTCCAGAAGAAGAACAAGGACCTGCGGTTGTGCATCGATTATCGCAAGCTCAACGCGCAGACGATCAGGAACGCCGACCCTCTCCCACGCATCGATGACCTTCTCGAGCGATTGGGCGGCGCACAGTTCTTCTCTAAGCTGGATCTCAAGTCAGGGTACCACCAACTCGAGATTCGCAAGGAGGATCACTACAAGACCGTGTTCAAGACACGGTATGGGCATTTCGAATGGCTGGTCATGCCGTTTGGCCTTACGAATGCCCCAGCCACTTTCCAAGCGGCTATGACAACGGAGTTTCGACACATGCTGGATCGGTTTGTTCTCATCTACCTCGACGACATCTTGGTGTATAGTCGGAGTTTGGACGAGCATGTGGAGCACCTGCGCACCGTTTTGGAGCGGCTACGACAAGCCAAGTACAAAGCAAACCGCGGCAAGTGCGAGTTCGCACAACAGGAGCTGGAGTACTTGGGACACTATGTGACGCCGCAAGGCATCCGTCCGCTCGCGGACAAGATCGAGGCCCTACGAGTATGGCCCGAGCCCACCAACACCACAGATGTTCCTTCATTCATGGGATTGGCGGGCTACTATCAGCGATTCATCACCGGATACTCCAGGATTGCTGCACCTATGACGAGGTTACAGTCGCCAAAGGTGCCATTCGTATTCGATGACGACGCACACTGGTCATTCCAAGCACTTAAGACGGCTATGCTCATGGCACCCGTCCTTAGCATCTATGACCCCACCCCGCCGACGCGAGTGACTACGGACGCTTCCGGCTATGGCATTGGGGCAGTCTTGGAACAGCACGAAGGCGACGACTGGCACCCTGTGGAGTATTTCAGCCACAAAGTGCCTCCCATCAACTCGCTTGATGATGCACGAAAGAAGGAGCTGCTCGCATTTGTGATGGCTCTCAAGCGCTGGCGACACTTCCTCCTTGGGCGTCGTAGGTTCACATGGGTCACAGAGAACAATCCATTGACCTACTACAAGACGGAGGACACGATGAGCAGCACGATCGGACGATGGATGTACTTCATCGACCAATTTGACTTCACACCAAAACATGTCCCCGGCCTCTCCAATCGCGCAGCAGATGCACTCTCGCGAAGACCTGATCTTTGCGCTATGTCACATCATGCCTTCGCATTCGACGAGGAGCTTCAGCGACACTTCATCCGGGCATATCAGTGTGATCTGGACTTCGGCACGCTCTATGCACAACTATCTTCGGATCACCCGTCGGCCAGCCATTACCGCATTGCCGACAGGTACTTGCTCCTCCACTCAAGAGGCAAGGACTTACTATGTGTCCCACGCGACCGTCGTCTTCGAACTCGCCTCCTCGGCGAGTACCATGATTCACGACTCGCCGGCCATTTCGGAGTCAACCGCACTATTGCACGGCTTCGACAGCGATTCCGATGGTCCGACCTCATTACCGATGTCACTCGGTATTGCGACTCTTGCGAAGTTTGCCGACGCAGCAAGCCCCGCAACCGCAATCCCTTCGGCGAGTTACACCCGATGCCTATCCCATGGGAACCCGGTCTCTCCATTGCCATGGACGTCACCGGTCCGTTTCCTCGCGACCAGCTCGGGCACGACGACATCCTCACGGTTGTGGACCGATTGAGTAAGTACGCGAGTTTTCTCCCTTGCAAGTACCACTCCACGGCTCCCGAGCTGGCACGCCTCCTGCACACTAGTTGGATTTGTGGCCACGGTGTACCAGAAGACATTGTCAGCGACCGCGACACTCGTTTCATGTCGGCGTTTTGGACTGCTCTCATGCAGGACTCCGGCACAACAATGAAACCAAGTTCGGCTCGACATCCTCAGACAGACGGGCAGACGGAGCGGCATCAAACCGCTCAAATGATGCTTCGTACGCTCATCCATCCGGACCAAAAAGATTGGGTTGACCGCCTCCCCGACATCGAGTTCGCCTACAACACTTCGGTGCATCCGGCGATCGGGGTGACTCCATTCGAGTTGCACCACGGTGGACGGAAAGGCCGGATCTTCGCAGACCTTCTCCCCCCTCGACCAGCCGACATTGACGCTGCTTGCTCTCCCGCTTCCGTCCGGAAGTACAGGGAATTGCTGACTCAAGCCCGCGCAAATATGCAAAAGGCCCAAGTCCGCATGCAGTAGCAAGCCAACAGGCGTCGCGTACCATGTCCCATCCGCGCCGGTGATCTGGTTTGGGTCTCCGCGGAAGAATTTGCACTGGAACAGGATGTTTCACGCAAAGTGCTTCCCAAGTGGTTTGGACCTTGGTCTGTGATAGCAGCCGCGGGCGATGAGCCCGATGGCCCTTCATTTGTGATCAACATTCCAGAGCATCTGACGGTCCATTCGATCTTCCACGCCTCAAAGCTGGCAACATACACGCCAGCCAAGAGCGACGACTTTTCGGACCTACGATCGTAGGACCCTCCTTCTATGGATGGCCATCAGGAAGTTGACCGCGTCATCTCCGATCGCAAGTACGGCAGCAAGCCGCGGCAGTACAAAGTCACATTCAAAGCATGCGATCACGACGACACTTGGTGGATTTCAGGCGCAGATTTGAAAGCATCCGCACCACTGATCTACGCGCATTATGAAAAGCGGAGGTTAGCTCAGGAAGCTTCACGACCAGCCCCTCCCACCCAGACTGTGGTCCCTCCCTCAGACAGACAGCTTCGCCCTCGCAGGTAAGCTCGGTTCTTCAAGGAGGGGGGGGTGTGGCATACTGCGTAGACACACGGGCCCTGCAAGGCCCGTCCCGGACATTCAGCCTAAAAGCCTAAAACTTAGGGCTTACAGGCCCCATTCGTTTCAGCCTGAAAGCTGAAAACGAGGGCCTGCAGGCCCTACCCCGTTTCAACCTATTTCTGGGTCTTTTCAGACCCAGAGTTTTCAGCCTGAAACGGAGGGCCATTTTCAGGCCCTCATTGTTTCGATCTGCCCCTATGACTCAGGCCCGTAAACAGGGATGCGGAACAGGCCAGAAATAGCCTGTTCCTCACTAGTTTGAGCAGGAGCTGCAGCTGCAGCCCCTGCCTCCCTTCGGCAGGCTCAGGAGGCACATCCGTAGTACATAGGAAGTTCCCATGCACTTCACGGGTAGGTAGTTCAGTAGGCAAGAGGTAATCTTCAGGAATTCGGCCGCAACACTCAGGAGGAGCACTGCAATAGTCTTCAGCGCTAGGTAGTATTAGCGCTAGCTGTAGTCTTCGGCGTTGAGCGCCATAGCTGTAGCTGTAGTCTTCGGCGCTGGGCGCCCATAGCCTTAGTGGTAGTCTTCAGCGCTGGGCGCTATGGTAGGTGGTAGATCGTAGAGTGGGAGAGAGACTGGCGGAGGCCAGTGGTACTTACCTGTGGCGCCATCGCTCCAGCTCTATCTTCGTGGTACCTGCATCCAGACGCCAACTTCACAGGTTAGTACTGGACACAGAGAGAGAGAGAGTTCTTCTTCGTCCTCTTCTAAGTCGACCTTCTCTTCTCACCCTCTCGCCACCTGACTTCTCAGACTACGACAGAGAGAGACAAAGTTGTGACTTGAGACTTGACGACATTGGATCCAGACTTGACATTTGGGATTCAGACATTTCGACGAGGGACTATTTGGGCTTGTGCCGAAGACTTGGTGTTGATACATTCCCATCTTCCCCCTCCTCTTCGTCTATCCCCTTCCTCTTCGTCTGTGTATGGTTTGGGCTGGCGCAGTCTTCCTGTGTGAAGCGCCAGGCCCATTTCGCACCATGTAACGATGATGATGATGTATGTTTAGGGCTGCATTGCAACATTGATTGTTCGGATCACTAGTATCTAAGTCTGCCGTTGTGCTATCTTATACTTTGTATTGAAAGGTCGGTTCTTGTTCTGGTCTGCACGTTACAGTATGCAACACCGCCCTCGTCGAGTTCCCCCAACCTCAACCTTTCTACAACTTCGTTTCTTCCTCGGTCTCGCTAATGACTATCGTCCCTTCATGTGCGACTTTTCCGAAATCTCCTACCCCCTCCACGAGCTGACCTGCAAGAATGAGCTTTTTTTGAACGTAGCCAAGCCACCTTCGACCTCCTCAAACAAGTCATTACCGCAGCCCCTGTCCTCAAGACTGTTGACCCCTCTGGACACTTCTATGTTACCACCGATGCCTTAGACTTTGCTATTGGAGCCGTCCTCTCCCAACACTTCCCCCGCGACATCTCGGACCCCCCCTCCATCAAGGTTCCTCACCCACTCCAAGGCCCCACCCGGCGAGTACCCTATGGCATTTGCGAGCAAGAAGTTCATCCCAGCAGAGATGAGCTACCCCTCCAATAAGAAGGAACTCCTCGCCGTCATCCATGCTCTCAAAGTCTGCCGCCCATACCTCGACGGTCGGTACTTCACTTTCCGCACCGAGAACACCATCGTCTCAAGCAATCGCACCAAGAAAGATATCCCACCCCGACAACCCCGATGGTTAGACCTTCTCATCCGGGGTTACATTCACCATCTGTCACAACCCCGACAAAAGCAACCATGTCGTTGATGCCCTTTCTTGACGACTCGACCACAAGCCCCCTGAGAAAGTCTACGCTGCCTTGACTCATGTTCAACTCCTACCTTCATTCCACCACCACTATACTAACAGGTACTCTCCATGCCCCGATTTCTCTACCGTCTATTAAAAGCTTCGCGACCTCAACACCGTCCCCAACTACTCCCTCCACGACAACCTCTTGTACATTAACACTAAAGGCACTCGCCGACTCTGTATCCCTGACGCACGTGGTCTTCGTACCCAACTCCTGGCTGAGCATCACGACGCCAAGACTACAGGACACGTTGGTTTCTAGAAGACATTCGACACCGTCTCTCGCTACTTTTACTAGCCCTCACTCCTCGCCTACGTCAAAGCATACATCCGAGCATGCCCCACTTGTCAAGCAGTCAACCCCTCAAACCAGGCCAAGTCTAGCAAGCTCCAGTTATTGCCTATCCCCACCCATAGGTGGCAGTCCATCTCTATGGACTTCGTGCGCGGTCTCCCCATGACCGACCGCGACTATGATTGCATCTACGTCATTGTCTGTCGCTTGACCAAGCAGGCCCACGTCATCCCTTGCACCAGTTCTCACGATGCCAACGACTTCGTCACACTCTTCTTCGATCACGTCGCACGCCACCACGGTCTCCCCGAACACATCATCAGCTCCCCGCTTCCTTTCCCAATTCTGGAAAAACGTGTTCAAAGCCTACGACACCACCCTCAAGAACAGCACTGCATTCCATCCCCAGACCGATGGCCAGACCGAAAAGATGAACGATACTCTCCAAAGGATCCTGCAGAACTATTGTCATCCACACCAGCACAACTGGGATCAGTTGCTCACCGCCGTCGAAATTGCCTACAACAATGCTGTCTGCCCTTCCCTGGCATGTCCCCATACGACCTTGTCCTTGGCTACCATCTCCGCTTGCCCTCAGACTTCCTGCTCCCCTCGCAGCTCAAATTATCCACTCCCTGTCCTTCTCTATATGAATGGGTTGCAACAATGGACCGCCTCCTCAGCGAAGCCACTAATGCCCTTGCAAAACCCAACAACAACAAACGAACAAGACCAACAAGCACAGACGGGATATCACATTCAAAGTAGGGGACAAAGTCTGGCTCTGCGCCAAACGATTTGAACCCGGACACGGCTTGTCCAAGAAACTCTCAAACAAGTGGCTCGGCCCATTCCCCGTCATTGAACAAGCATCCACTGTAAATTACAGACTTCGACTACCCCCTAACACGAGCCAAGTTCACCTTGTCTTCTATGTCGAGTGCTTAAAAGAATACAATGAGTCACCTCCACAAATTGTCGACCGCCCGTATCCTAAACCTCCACCAATCATGCTACCTACCGGGCCAAAATTCGTGGTAGAATCTATCATAGGCCGACGAACCACTCAGGTATCTGATCATCTGGAACCAATCACTGAATACAAAGTCAAATGGACTGGATACCAAGATGAAGAATCTACATGGGAACCCCTTGATAATCTGAAGAACGCCATGAAACTTGTTCGTGCCTATGATCGTGCTCACCCTGTATCCTAGCTATATCCTGCGCATAACACCCATATACCTTGCATAAACCCTGCCTCATTGCTCTACACGCCCCCTCTGCACCCAGCAAAACCCCTGCCCCTCCACCTCTCTCTGTCTGATCCGCTCTTGCCCCCATCTCGTTCCCCAATCTGTCGTCTGCCACATCCTTTGCCTCTCTTGTTCAAGCCTTACCTGTGCTTCCTGCGCATCGCCGGTGATAAAGGATCTAATGGCAAGCGCACGAGGAAGATGGCCTGCTGCAGCACAGCTCGAGGAGATTAAGCAGCTGGTTGGCCATCATGCTGTCCAATTGGCCGGCACCTGGACTCGCAGACTTCTGGAGCAGCACTCTTGACATGGACATCAGGATCAGTCTGCGACCTGCTATCCAGATCAGACTTCATCATCAGGATCGTGTACAGGATGCACCCTGGCACTTGGACCTTCATCTATTGGACTGCTACACTACTTCTTTCAAGCTGGAACCCTCGCTACTACACGTCGCAAGCCTGCTGAAGACTGGTTTATCAGCAGCATTCTGTAACTGGACTTACTTCAAGACCTGCTTCAAGACTCTCAGCCAGACCATGTTGCAGAACCTGCGATTTCCCCCCCAACCCTATTCACTTCGAGATCCTCAGAAACCCCGACCCCTGAACACTGCAAAATAATTTCCCTTTCTTTATTTTTGCTCACAAAACCCTTTCGCCCAATAGTTCATCAGTACTACAACCCTGTTCCCCCCTCAGATTATAACCCTGTAGTCAATCAGTAGGGCAACCCTGTTCCCCTGCAGTTCCTAACCCTGTAGTTCATTAGTAGGCAAACTCTGTTCCCGTACATCAGTAAGCATACCCCATAGCTCATCAGTAGGAAAACCCTGTTTCCCCCCGCCCTTGCTACCCACATTATACCCCTCTCCCTTTTTCTTCTTGCTTCCCAGTGATCGGCCCCGCCCCGTCCTTCACAGGATTCAGCATTATTTTCATGACTTTTGGCAGCCGGGAAGTTGCCTTCTAGAGGGAGAGGATAGTGTTACGGACTCTGCCAGGGCTCGATCCCTGGTCTGCGGATTACCACCCACCAGCTTGCTGTATTTATTTTCTTTTTTTCTTTTTGTGATTTTCTTGTTTTGTTTTACTTTGTTTTTGCTTTTCCGATTTCGGACAGTTGGCGCC